ATTGGTCCCTGTGGCGTCACACGTACTTTATTCAGACCTTTCTTCCTCCCGGCGCTTTGGCACATTATAGTCTACTTAGTTGCTCCTGACGTCCCCAGTATTAATTTACTGGGGGAGATATCTCTCTCTCTCTCCCTCTCTCCCTCTCTCTCTCTCTCCCTCTCCCTCTCCCTCTCCTCCCCCCTCTCTCTCCTCCTACCCACCTTCCCAGACTCCAAGGTGCCAGCAGGAGCCTGGCCTCTCCGAGAACCTTGGGTGCCATCCTGAGCCTGCTTTGAAGGGAGAGACTCCTGTCTGTTCAAGTATCACACCTCTGCTCTGTCTTCTTCTATCTCAAAGGCCCAACACCAATCAGTCCCCTGGGCTGGCCAAGAATGGCAATCTCTGATTTTTTGTTTTGTTTTGGTTTTGGTTTTTTTTGGGGGGTCCAGTTGTGGGGCCTGAACTCTGGGCCTGGGTGCTGTCCCTCAGCTCTTCAGCTCAAGGCTAGCACTCTACCACTTGAGCCACAGCACCACTTCTGGCTTTTTTCTTTTTGCTTATGTGGTGCTAAGGAATCGAACCCAGGGCCTCTGGCATGCAAGGCAAGTGCTCTACCACTGAGCCACCTTCCCAGTCCTGTTTTGTTTTTGTTTTTTGGTGCTGGTCCTGAGGCTTGAACTCAAGACCTGGTCTCTGTCCTTTAGCTTTTGTGCTCAAGGCTAGCTCTCTACCACTTGAACCACAGCTCCATGTCTGGCTTTCTCATAGTTTATTGAAGATAAGAGTCTCACAGACTTTCCTGCCCAGGCTGGCTTCGAACCACAATCCTCAGATTTCAGTGTCTTAAGTAGCTAGAGTTACAGGCATGAGCCACCCACATCCAGCAAGAATAGGGTTCTTTCTTTGTCAGGTTGGGAAGGTGGCTCAGTGGTAGAGTGCTTGCCTAGCATGCAGGAAGCCCTGGGTTCAACTCCTCAGTACCACAGACACAGAAAAGGCTGGAAGTGGCGCTGTGGCTCAAGTGATAGAGTGCTAGCCTGGAGCAAAAGCAGCTCAGAGACAGTGCCCAGGCCCTGAGTTCAAGCCCCAGGACTGGCCCCCAAAAAGGAATGCAGTGCACAGACCTTAGGCCCATCTCTCCCCAGACATAGCCGTAGGGGTCACAGGCCAAGCTAGAGAAGCTGGCTCTACCCTCTAGCAATCTCCCTCTCTACCACGGGGCCTCAGGGCCTCCCTGACTTATCTCCATGGCTTGGCAGGCCAAGTTAATTAAGATGGATGTGGCGTGCCCCTGTGGGCAGGAGCCGTGGCCGGCACAGATGGCAGGGGCCTGTGACTCTCCTGGGTGCTGCCCGGCAAGCGGCCTTGGCCACCAGCCAGTGGGGACAGAGCTGGGGAGGGCCCAGTGAATTTGTTGTGTCTCCATGACCTCTAGTCCGGCTGCTCACCTGCCAGGCTCCCTGATCTGTTCTCTTCCCCAGCATCCCCACTCCAGCCACACACCACGCATGCGCATCTCCCAGCACACGCCTGCCTCCACCGCCCCATCACAGCCCAAACACTGGGCAAGCAGAGGCCAAGCCCAGCCCTGGACTTAAAATGCCAGGTGACCAGGGAGAAAACCCCAGCCAAGTGCCTGTGGCTCACGCCTGTAATCCTAGCTACTCAGAAGGCTGAGACCAGAGGATCTCTGTTCAAAGCCAGCCCCAAGCTGGGCGTTGGTGGCTCATGCCTGAAATCCTAGCTACTCAGGAGGCTGAGATCTGAGGATCGAGGTTCAAAGACAAGTGGTAGAGTGCTCACCTTGAGCTAAAGAGCTCAGGGACAGCACCCAAGTCCAGAGTTCAAGCCCCACAACCGACCCCCCAAAAAAAGCCAGCCCCAGCAGCAGGAAAGTCCATGAAACTCTTATCTTCAATTAAGAAAAAATAGTTGGAAGTGGAAATGTGGTTCAAATGGTAGAGCATCTACCGTGAATAAAAAACCTCAGGGAAAATGCCAGCCTAGTACAATAAATAAAACCTCAGGGAGAGCTCCCAGGCCCTGAGTGCAAGCTCCAGAACCAACACACACACACACACACACACACACACACACACACACACACACACGTCCCATTTCCAAGTTCCCAGGAAAGAATGAGGTGGGAGATAGGAAGCACTCTGAGGCCTTCCAAGGTGCAGGGACATGCCCATGCCGTGCCCTCAGCTTCTCAGGCTGGGGGACCCAGACCCAGATCCCCCTTTACATCACAGGCCCTCCCCAACTCCCCTGCTCCGCCTCCTCATGTCCTCCCAGCTGGAGTAAGGACCAGGTGGTGACGCCCATCCCCATTTGGCAGAAGGAACAAAAAGGGACACCCCCCCACACACACACACGAAACCCAGAGGCTCTGGCTGGACCTCAAGCCTCCAGCCCCTCCTGAGCCCCCATCCATCTCCATGGACCACCAAATCCCCATGGGACCAATGCTACCCCCGGCTTCAAAAAATAAGAATTTGAAAATTCTCACCCCGAGATAATTGCTCTCTCCTCCAGCCCATTGTGGTGGCTCCGTGGTTGGAGCTGAGAAGCAATTATTCATGGCTAATGATTATAATCAAGTCAAATAGAATTTAATGGACACGTATTCTCTTCCTGCTTGAAACTTTACATATGAATTAAGCACATATGGGTTTCACGAGGCACAGACGCAGATTTATGCAGCCTCCAGAAGCCCCGCGTCGCCAAGACTTTTTATTCCGCTAATAAACAGGCTGATTTACAGCTCCGCGGGAACCTTGATCTCTGCTGCCCCCTGGTGGGCGGCAGGGCTGGGGGTTGGAGTCCACACCAGGGGAACCCCTGGGGACCTGGAGGGGAGTCACAGAGGGCCCCCAAGGTCTGACCAGGGCCAAGGCTGTCCTGATCACTGGGGACACAGGCTCTGGATAGGAATCTGTATTCAAGACCTGCTTCGTCAACTACCAGGCAGGTGAAGCCCTTTCTAGAATAGGGAGAATGTGGGAAAACACACCAAGAGATGTGGGTAAGTTGAGGCAAGCAGGAAGGGGAAGTTGGTGAGTACAATGCCCATGGCTTTAGTCTCAGTAACCTGGGACAGGGTGGCTGGCACTGGGTGAACACGCACAGCTCACCTGCCCCAGGAACTCGGTGGCTGGCAGGCCCAGGGAGAAGGAGAGCCCCCAGCTCCACCGCACTTTCAGCAAGGAGCTGAGAGCACTACATCCAGTCAGATCAGTCACAGGGCGCTTAGGAAGAGCCAAGGGCCAGGCCTGAACCTCTGGAACCCGTGCATCCTCAGTCCCAGGGCCCTCACCCGACCCCGAGCCACATCACACTTTTCCCTCAGGTCCCTTTGTGCCTCAGCAGGAAAAGCATTGGGCGGGTGCCTCCCTCCCCCTGCCAGTGACTGGCAGTGCCTGGCCCCCAGCTTTGTGACTGCCCCTCAGTCAGCCCAGCCCCGTCGGCCCCTAGCAGCAAGAATGCTCTCCCGTGCCGTGCGGTTGGCTCACAGCTGCAATAATAGCTACTCAGAAGGCTGAGATCTGAGGATCAGGGTTCAAAGCCAGCTCGGGCAGGAACGTCCATGAGACTCTGATCTCCAATGAACCACTCAGAAAGCCGGAAGTGGCGCTGTAGCTCAAGTGGTAGAGCACTTGCCTTGAGCTGAAGAGCTGAGGGACAGCGCCCAGGTCCAGAGTTCAAGCCCCACAACCAACAAAAAACAACAACTCTCTCCCCCCACAAAGCCACCAAGGTGGCCGCCAGCCCCAGTGTGGCCGCCTCAGTGTCTCTCCACATGGGCTTGCAGACCTCACTGCACATGAGAACCCCCAGCAGAGAACCACGATGACCCAAGTGCCCCCCCACCCCAGTGTGAACTCCTGTGTGTGGCTCGTCACCACGCACCTGCGGCAGGCCCGACAGGGGTGGGGACACAGTTTACGCCATTAGGACACCAGTTGGGAGACACACAGCGCAATGATACCACTGCCAGGCACGCCATGCGGACCCAGATGAGCGGGCATCCCCTCCGCCTGGGCACTTCAGGAGAAAAGGGGGGCAGCAACAGCATCAGCAGGACCGCATGGGGGCCGTGGAGGCACAGGGCCTCTAGTCAACACGGGGGTCAGACGCCGCTACTACAAGTCCACGGGGAGTCAAGGAGATTCCAGAAACTTCTGAGTCTTTCCTGATACCCTGGGGCAGCCAGGAGAGATGCCTGCTCCTGGGACTCAGTGGCTACAAAGAAGAGCCTGAGCTCCTGCTGGACCTAATGTAGCCTTGACACCCCGTAGCTGAGCGCCCCCCCCCCCGCAAAGCCCTTCCTCAGACCCTGTGACCTGGGCCGGAGGAACAGCCACTGGATAGATGGAGGAGCAGCTGCTCTCCTCCCCCTCCTCTCCGTCTTCCCCACCCTCCTTCCCCTCCCCCCTCCTCCCTCGCTGGCCCCCAGAGCAGCCACCCCGACTTCTCATCTCGATGAACTGTCAGATGAACTGTCAAGCCAGCAAGAGGCGACTGGCCGCCAGCAGGAAGCTGCGCAGCTCTCACTTCCAGGGGCTGGAAAGGCGCCAGGGGGGCCGGGGGAGGGGGGGCGTGCTGTCCACAAGCTCCCACACCTGCCCAGCTCCGAAGTGAGCAGGGCGGGTGGAAGGAGAGTTGCCACAGCTCTCCAAGCATGGATCGGGCTCGGGGGTAGAAGGGGGGTAGAAGGGGGGCTGGCCTCCGCCCCATCCAGCTGTGCCCCCCCCTCCGCCGCCGCTAATGGGTCTCGGAGCTGCTGCGAGGCGGCGAGGCAGAGCATGCCCCCGACCCAGCAGGTCAGGCATCCCAGGGATGCGGAGGCTAAGTGGCCACCACGCTGGGTCCCGTGGCGCCAGCCTCACATCCTCACCCGGCACCCCGGCGCCTCTGGGGAACCAGACGGCGCCCACACATCCCTGGCACGGCAGACCCCGGCAGAGGCAAACGAAGTGGCCACCCAGGGCCTCTGGCTCAAGCCAGCCACTCACCGGCGTTGACAATGGCGTCCACCTCCAGCTTGGTGATGTCACCTCGGAACAGGGAGATCTTCTCGTTCAGCTGCTTGTCCTTCTTGTACTGGGGCTCCTCTACCTTTCCCGTCATCCCTGGAATGGGGAGGGGAGGGGGATGTGAGGGTCACAAACAGGGCCTCTTCCTGCCAAAGGACACAGCCAGAAACCCCATGCCAGGCCCAGCCCTACCTCAGGGCAGCTTGCGATGGTGACAGCCCACACCAAGTTTGCGCATGCTGGGTGGCAGGTGTCTGGGGACCTTCCTAACCATGCCAGGGCAGGGACAAAACTGATGCCAGCCGGGCGCCGGTGGCTCACGCCTATCACCATAGCTACTCAGGAGGCTGAGATCTGAGCATCGAGGTTCAAAGCCAGCCCAAGCAGGAAAGCCCCCATTAGACTCTTATCTCCAAAAAAAAAAAAACACATTAGAAAACCAGAAGTGGTGCAGTGCCTCAAGTGGTAGAGCGCTCCCTTAAGCTGAAGAGCTGAGGGACAGCGCCCAGGCCCAGAGTTCAAGCCCCAGACCAACAACAACAACAAAATAAATAAATAAATAAAGCTAAGGGACAAAGCCCAGGCCCTGATTTCAAGCCCTAGTACAGGAGAACGTGAGGCTGGGGGAGGGCAGTGACTTGCCCCAGGGTCTGAGGGGGCCAGGCCGCATCCCAGGGCCTGGTATCTCATCCAAGCCCTGCCACTGCAAACCAGCCCACCACAGCTTCCAATTCCAGCCCCAACAACCAGGTAATGAGCAGCAGGTGGCTTACATGGTCTAGGGCAGGCTTCCTGAGGGTCCTGGGGGATACAAACTACACTGGCCTCGGGCGGTGTTAATAATTAAACGAGGTGACAGCGCAGGGCAAGCACTCAAGCAGTGCCCCTGGAGTCTTCCCGGCAGAGTTTTACAAGCCTGAGTGTGAAGGGGCCACCTGGGCAGCAGCAGGCGGACCTACCTTTCGCCATCTCCTTCCATGTGGGGATCTTCTTCAGCCTGACGAAGTCTTTGCAGAAGTAATGCTCCTCCCTCTGCTTATCACTCAGGCCCTTCAGAAAGGCTGGGTGGGGGGCGGGGGAGAAGGAAAGTCAGGACACCTGGGGAGGATCGGGGTCCAGGGCAGCTCACACCCAGGCCCCCTCCTCCTACCCCTCCTCCTGAGCACTCCAGCCACAAGCAAGCCAGCCCTCCCAGCTACCTTTTCACAGCAGATGTGAGTGGAGGCAGGCTGGGGACAGGGGCAGCACTCCCTCCCCCCAGTATCTTACCCCACCCTCATTGCTGAAGAAGAAACTGAGGTCCAGGGAATCACTCAGGCCCTGCAGACCCTGTTCAGAACTCAAAGCACAGGTAGCTCACGTGGATAATGTTAGCTACTCAGAAGACTGAGATATGAGGATTACTGGTCAAAGCCAGCCTGAGCAGTCAGTGAGACTCTTTTTTTTTTTTTGGTTAGTCTTGGGGCTTGAACTCTGGGCCTGGGCGCTGTTCCTCAGCTCTTCAGCTCAAGGGGAGCACTCTACCTCTTGAGCCACA